GGCCTTACTCAGAAAATATGTCACTACCATACAATAAAAAACGTTCGCCACAATAATATAAAATCATTTATATACGTTAATCATCAGCAAAACAACTCTGAAAAGATTACAATATTTCCAAAATAGAATAATTGGAAAAATTGTTAAGGAACCACGCTGCAGAGAAAGAAGACAGTGGATATACAAACAACTCTAACCTTACCAACAATTAAAAAAATCAAACCAAAAATCATTTTTCGAAAAATCCCAACAATTGGCAAACCCTCTTTTTAACAATTTGTTACCAGCCAAAATTCCAAAACTTTGGCAACTAATCACATGATATCGATGTTTTAATTTAGTTGTAAGCTCTAGAGGATAAGATCAGCCCCATCACCTTTATATTATAGATGGAGAACGAAATACTTAGAAATGACAAAAATCTAAAAATAAACCTTACAATGCTATTAAGCAGTAAAAGGTGTATTATTAAGACAATCCAAGGGTTAAAGACAAAAATAAGTAGAAAGGGGCTATGGAAAAAAATAAATAAATAAAAAAAAATCACTTCTAATTATCAACTAATGTTTAATAAACGAGTATAAGGAGGAAAAACAGTCATTACTCTATCTGCACATATATAACAACAATTATTCAAAAAAATATAATAAAAATAGTTACTTCTGTCTGTTAAAAAGTAATAAAGGTCTCTACTAGCGTTAATGTCGCGCGATGCCTTAGCCATAATTATAAATAAGTTCAGATATGCACAGCGTTCATTTCTTCCCTGTAAACCTATCGGAAATTCCTTATAGTTTCGCTAATATGATGAATCACTACCGTACCCAAGCTACTCAATTATATGAAATTTATTTCTCGCTAATTATGTACTATTTTTTTCATACGTTCTAAGGGAGATGTTTATTTGTATAAAGTATATGGATACAGTCAAATGAACAGTATTATTCCTCCAAAAAAAAAAAACAATAGTGTCTGATTAGGCTCTTCCTAGAGGAGTCCACAATATAATTAAGGGATAATTTATAAAAACAAAAATTATGACAAATCTTTTTTTTGGAAAAATAGATGATAGAAAGATGAGATACGACCTGAAGAAGGGATAATATCACGTGTGATCATGAAACGTCATAAAAATAAAGTAAAATTTTTTTGGGAGAGCAAAACTGTTTACTTAACAGCATTCATATACATTATTTATTTTATACTGCCACCGCAATGGAATGAAAGATGTTGAAGAACAATAGTCAAAGAACAATTTTTTTTCTAACTGTACCTAACAACTATAATGATGTTGAAAAGATTAAAGTCTATATAATGAAAATGAGTAAATTATAGAGTTTATCTAAAGTTGTTTGTTTTGTTTTTACTAAAAAAAAAACGGCCAGTGAGCATTATAAAGATAAAACTCCAAACAGATAAATTAACTTTCTACCCTATCTGAAATTTTGTTAATCCATCATTCTAAATGACAATTTTAATGTGTAACTAGATTAAGTGACCTTGATAAATCACGTACGATAACCCAACTAAAGATTTTTTTTAGTATGCCTATCATAAAGATTTCTTTAAATAAAATCACATCCATGTCAAAGTAAGTACAAAACTCATAATTAATTTAATGAATATTGCTATTATGAATGGAATATAGAATAGAATGGAAATATAACTATTAGAGGTTTTTGTAAATATAGTTTTTCGGTAGGCAAATTAACCCCTCTTCAGCAAATTTACATTAAACAAATTTGGTGCGCGAAACACAAAACTTTCACTTACCTCTATATTTTGAATAGAAATAATTTTTTGGCAATGTTGAGAAACTATAAAACAAATCATTAAAATCTGTAAAATAACAAAACCGTATTAATTATATCAACGGTAGACAATAAAAGTCTTGGTTCTCCATCTGTTTTTGTAAACCACATAACTCCAGTCTCTGAGCTATATGAATATATATTCATATACATTCCTTCAGATATTTGAAAGTATATGTTCTATATCTGCTACTTCTATATCTTCTGTTTCTAATCTATAAATGATTATGGATTTTACGACTATTAGTTATTAAACTGTTATTTTCCATTGTAAAGTTTACTAAAATGAAATATATACTAAAAGAAAAATTCATCAAATCAATTTGCACTTAATTACAAGTTACTATAGAGGCCTTACTATAGCGATTGCAAAAAATTATTGAAAATAAATTTAGTGTTAAGAATAATGTGAAGAGTGTAAGCAAAATTCAAATAATAATAATAGATCAATGCTACATAAACAATAAAAAAATCAGTTTTCTGAAATTTTCTTTAAAAAAAAAAAGAAGTAATAAAGATGAAAAGTAGATTTAAAGCTCTAGAATTTGAGGAATGTGCTAAAAAACAATTACCAAGACATGCAACTATACAAAGACAATTGACAACCATATTACTACGAATCGTTTATCGAAAACAATTTGAATAGGCGGCCAAGAGTTATTGTGTCGAACTCACTTCAAGAAACTCAATCTCTTGATCAATTCCAAGAAGGAAAGAGGAAGTATGTCTGGTATACATAGAAACATGTCAACGCGAGGAATTACTAATGAACAGTTTCCGTCCATAAGGTCATTAACTAATCATAAAAAATTAACAAAAATTACAGGCTCTAGGGTTGCCAAGATTCCTTCGATGATTGTACCCTTAGTGGGACAATATTTGTATAAATGGATTTGTGTCGTTTTAGAGTAAGTAAAGTCGAAATTCACAAAAACGCTCTTAAAATTTCAACTCCATAAAAAATGTACTTAGCGACTTTTTGAAATAAACCGAAGGGAAGAAAATTAAATTTTATATTTATTCTGTTCATTAAATCTAAATTTGGTGTCTTGATGTTTTCATTTATATAAATTAAGGGCGTTATTCCACCAACATACTATTTATTTTTCATTTTATCTAGACAACGTTTCGGCCAACAATAGGCCTATTTTCAAGTCTGGTAAATTTTTATCATTATTATATTACAATTCAATTACATTTACACTGAAAAATTTAATTATATTTTACATAAGTAGTTAATTTACTGACCTTATCCATACATTTACACTTTATATCAAATTTTGTATATTTTTTTAAATGCATAATATTATGAACGTAAACTTTGCACATTACATAAACTTAATTGTTACCTTACTTGAGTCCTCCACTAAATCTCTATATTGGACGTCATTTTCATTTTTCTGAGAAACAAATTAAAATTGTCCTGATATTTAAGAGTTTCTCCTACGCCATCCTTGGAGGAACTGACTTATATTGCCCAGATGGGGATGGTAAAAAACAACTGACGTTCTGGTAAACCTCCTGGGCACACTTATCATAAGAAAAACAGGAAAAAACTAAACAAAAATAAGTGATACCCATAACTGAACCATCTGATTAATCCTAGAGGAGAAGATTTATCTACTAATGCTTTACAAACCGTCTCTGCTCTAGTCTAGCAAAATGCTTCTTTAATATTGAAAAAGAGTCTAAAGCAGGTTCTTTAAAAATAAACTTTTCAATTTTCACCATCATGTAATGTAGGGCGGAATCAGTAGATTTTTCCATGAGATAAGCATGTTGATACGAGAGGAGTTAAAGTGGTGGCACCTTGCTTGTATGGTACATTGGTACATTGCTACCAACTTCCTCAGGAAAAAGAAGGAGATTAATCCTATAGGTCACAGTATTGGACTTTGGAGTCTAGGTCCAACATAGGGAGAAAAAAAACCTGTCCGTCGAAAAGCCATGTTAACAGTATAGTCTTCCTTGCTATTTTTAGGAATAAAGGTTATTGATGACTTCCTTCATGTCTCTGGCTTATATCTTTATGGTAAAGAGGCTATGAGTAGTGCTCCTAATTTTGAGAATAACATATTTTTCTTTTTAATTCATATTATTTTATATTTCTCTCTATTGTTCTTTGGATACATTAAGTTAATGATTAGGATAACAAATTAGTTTGATAATTAGTAGATATTAAAGTTGACAGCCGAGTGTAAGCTGCAAGTTTTCATTTCATCACATAATTCATTATTGTGTAGAGCAGTATATTGATCCTTAAAAATACTTCTGAAACAGGTCTTGAGTTTTGGCTATTCTGAAGCCTAGTGAGCAGGATTAGCATGTATTCAAGGACCAACAAAGAATTTCGAAGGAACATTGAGCAAGATATACTTGACAAAGCCATAAAAACTTAGCTTAAAGATTTGAAATTGACAAATTTAAGATTGATAAAGCAAGGAAAGCGGCAAATCAATAGCAGAATTTAACTTGCTAACCGTAGACGATATTTTTAACATATGAGTGTGATTTTCATATATAAAACTATACTAAAAAATTATTAATAATTCCAAAACCTGGAGTTTTAAGTATTTTTGAATACCTTCTCATTTTTTTTTTTTTATTTAGGAAAATCGAAATATGTAAACTAGCGAAATACCAACAGAATAAGTCCTCTTACAAACTATGCAATATGATTTTTTTTTTACTTTCAGCACAACGAAAATCAACATGCAAATTTTATTTAATAATGAAAGAAAATTAGGCAATTCGAATCTGCTTGTAAAAATCTGTTTTTGAATATTTGACGTCACACGAGCAATGTTCTTTGTCTAATTTTGAACTAAGGTGTTAGCTCTAACCTCTTTGCATTCAGTATAAATATTGTAGAATTAAAACATGTTTTTATTTGTTTTATATTATGTGAGAAAATTTCAGAGGAATGATAGAAATACTTAATGAGAAGGAAACCAATAGGTCTGCCCAGAATTATCTTCTTAATAAACATTTTTAAAAGAAACTAATATCAATTTCAGCTGCCAGTGCAGTGGTTGGGGGCAGTATCACCAGGAGCGCTAGCGTACAGACAAGACAAGAAGATTCTCTGTGTATTATCTCCTAAGGACTATCTATAAGCCAGTGGCTCATGGAAGGTGGCTAAGTGACAAGTAACAAAATTTTATTATTAAACCACCTTCAGAACAAGATATGGCCAAAACTTACGATTATTTGTTTAAATTGCTCTTAATCGGAGATTCTGGAGTTGGCAAAACGTGTATACTCTTCAGGTTTTCGGAAGATGCCTTTAACTCAACCTTTATATCCACAATTGGTAAGTGCATATTGTAAAGTGGGTCTACGAGTTGGGCTTAAGTAACCGAATTAGTTTCGGTTTGTTTCTTTACTTGTTGATTTAATTTTATGATGTTTTATTAGGAAAATACCTTATTGGAAGCACATTTTCGCTGTATTTGTAAGTGTGTGAACAATAAATGTGCCAGTTTCTTTTCTTTTTTTTTTTTTTGTTTTTCCCTTTCATGAAAGTTTTCTGAGCATGTTTTTAAATTATAGGTTTTTTCTCCTCAGTTTAGTTCAGCTTAAACCTGCATTATGATTGAATGAAATACTTTTTAGTTTAAATATAATAACAATTAAGAATCTTTTTGTTAAGTTACATCTTGTCATAAACTTAATTCTGCAGGGATCGACTTCAAAATAAGGACAATTGAATTAGATGGTAAGAAAATTAAATTACAAATATGGGACACAGCTGGACAAGAACGCTTTAGGACAATAACTACAGCATATTACCGTGGTGCAATGGGAATAATGCTTGTTTATGATATTACAAATGAAAAGAGCTTTGATAATATTAAGAACTGGATTAGGAATATTGAAGAAAATGCCTCTGCTGATGTTGAAAAGATGCTTTTGGGCAACAAATGTGACTTCCCTGAGAAAAGACAGGTAATGATTGAGTCATTACTTCCAAGAACAACTGCATTATTTATTTATAAATGACTAATTATGATGTAATATGCCTTTCAAGTATACTACAATTGTGAATTTCTTGTGCACTTCATCTTGTTCAATGGTTTGTTTTTTACTTACATTTAGGTTTCCAAGGAACGAGGTGAACAGCTAGCGATAGAATATGGAATTAAGTTCATGGAAACCAGCGCAAAAGCTTCCATCAATGTCGACGAAGCCTTTTTTTCGCTTGCTAGAGACATAAAAACAAAAACAGAGAAGAAACTTGTAAGTAGTGGTGTCAAATATTTCCTATTAAATTTGTTGATTTTATAAACTTTTATCTTAAATGATTATATCAAAGTTAGATAACAGCTATTTCAAGATGACTGAGTTATGTGTTTAATTGACAGTCTTTGCATCTTATGCTTTATCAGTTCTATATATTTTTTTTATATTATGCTAGTAATAAGTGGTAGTTTTTAAATGAAGTCAATATGATCCATTTATTTTTTACTGGCATATATGATTAATCGGTTAATTATATGCCATGATAATGATTTAATAATTTTATTTTATAAATTTATTTACTATTAATAATTTATACTATTAAGTATTAATTACTCTGTTTTTCTTTTTGTTTGCTCTCTGGATATTTTGTGCAGAAGGTAAATATCATCAGTGCAGCATGATGCTGTTAAAGCATGAATCAGTCGCATGTAGAATAATAATAACTTTTTTTTTAATTGACATACCATTAGGATTTATAAGTGCTTACTTTAGCTTGTTTGTTATCTTTGAAATTTAAAATTTGGTCCTTACTTTTAGCATGTTGTGTTTTAATTTTGAAGTTATTTAGTGCTGCGAATGTTGAATTCATGCTATATTGAAAAATTCTCTGCAGTTAGTTTTATACTAGTTTTAGTGCCTTCTTATATTATCATTATTCTGCTTTTATCAAATGAGGAACAGGATAATGCTCCTCCCCCTCTTAAGATAGTGCCAAGGCAGTATTAAATACTTTGTTTAAAAATACAGTTGAACCTGTATTCGACAAATGTTCTTAATAATGTGTATTTATATATATATGCATAATGAAATTGCAATATTTCATGAGAGACATACATATGTATGAAGTAAATATTCAAAACAATTGAAGTTACATAAGGAATTTTTTTTATAGTTAAAGAAAAAAGTTTGAATGTTTATTATATGTGTGCAATTTTTATTCATAACATCGTACAGTTTATTTATTTAATAGCAGATCTTTAAATGACAAAATATTGGCATTTACTAATTATATTGAAATCAATTATGTACAAGCATTAAAATGAACATTTAGCAATTCATGTACTTCATGAATACATTCCATGTGTGTACGTAACCAAGTATTTTCAAAGTTATGTTCAATTTTATTGATAGAGGTTAAGATTTCTTGAGGAACATTATAAAGAAATCTGTTTGTTTTAGTTTCTGCCTTGTTTCTAGATCATTTTTCTATTAATTCATCTTTTTACTTATTAAAATGGTTACAATTGAGCATATCTTCATAATTTATACTGTAAAGGTGAAATTCTATGCAGTATATATTCTTGTGCTATCTCTTTAGTAATGTCATATATGGATGACAACTAGGCCAAGATCACGTTCTTCGTGGAATGCTGTAACTAGCCTGGTCTATCTGAAACTATACAGAGACAACCTATCTCCAAACATTCCTATTATTAACTATAAATATTTGCATAAATTGTCTAATTTGTAAAGAATTACATGCTGTTCGTCGAAATAAGCATAATTTTTGTGTTGGCACAACTAGCGATAATCACGAACCTCTTTACTATTTTGGATTGTTGAGCTCATTAACTTTGGATAACTATAATTATTAAGGTAGGAATTCAGTTGAAATTATATGAGTAAAGTAATAAATAGTTGACAAAATATCCAAATAACCTCAAACAATAAATAAATGATTAAATTACAGAAAAATAATAAAATCAGCAAATTCCATGTATTTACGATTTATTTTTGTCTGTTGGCATTATAGAGCTTGTTCTTTTGCCGCCTCCATCTCCATTTATCTTGGGATGTTTCTTTCCAATCATCATCTGCATGCAGGTCTATTGAATCTTTGTTGATTCTATCTATACATCTGGTTTTTGGCCTTCTATTGAGGCATTCTTCGTTGTGTAGTGGTTTCCAAATAGATTATTCGAAGCTGTATTGGCAACAAGCGCCATCCATCTTAACCACCTTGTCTTCATATCATGTGGTATTGGTTCACCAGTTTCTGCAAGCAATCAGCTCTTTATTGTTCTTTCTTCTCCATGGAAATTATTCTGATCCCAGATTGTATACGTTGTCATGGGGAGAATTTTTTCCTTAAAGCTTTCAATACTTCTTTCTGGGCTCCTCGTTAAGATTCAGGTATCACAGCCACATATGAGAACTGGCTTTATCATAGCGTTGTAAACCCTTAATTTGAGATTTTTGGGATTTTAATTTCTTAGAAACAGAGAAGAAAGCTGTTTGTGCTTGTATGCTGGTCTATTTCTGATCATAGGTCATTCATTGAGGTTATTGTGAAGTCAAGATATTTAAATGAATATCTTGATGTTATATATTGTTCTTAATAATATTTGAATGAATTTGAGTTATAGGTCGTCTACTCTTGGGAACAATTTCTCTTCTACACAGATCCTATTATTGGAGTGGGATTTTCAGTTTATTATCATTTATTCTAAAGTGAAGGATGGTTGTTGGGGTGATCAGTCAAAATAAAAAATAGCAAAAATATTTAATAATATTTTTTTTATTTTTGATTGATCACCAATCACCCCAACCATCCTCTTCAATTATTCACTGCAGTCAACCATCAACCCACAATCATTTAGTTTATTTTATCTTCAATTAATTAGAGACCGGTTCACTCTGCTTCTCTTATGAGAGTCCTAATGAGCTTCTAAATGTCTTCTTGATTGCTTCCGTATCCAAGGATTTTGTGATTCATTCTGATGTGCACCCCTCCATTTTCACGTAATGTTATTATTATCATCTTCACCTGCACCAACATAGAATATTCTATGTATAATACAAAATTTACATATGTACTTAACTTCTTATAATAATTGTTACTGCTATTTTAAGTAAATACTTGTTTTGTTTTTCTAATTGTTTTTTTCAATAACTAAAATCGTGTTATATATTGAATTTATATCTCCAAGCCAATTTACCTTGTCTGAAGTGTTGAGTTTTTCATGTTGGGAATGTATCTTAATTAACCCTAACCTGTCTAATGACAGACCCTTTACTAGTTCCTCGAATTGGGTAGTGTCATATTTTTCCACCTATCATTCAGACCTGACAGCACTAATATTTTGAGCCCAGATTTGTCCAGTCAAAGAATTTTATAATGTATTGACTTGTTCATGAGTCTAACCTCCTTTAATTTAGTTCATGATTTGCTGTAACTTCTGGAAACTCCCTACTCATTGTCCTTTTCAGTAAAAGTTAGAGCCTTGGCAGAGAGTTCAGCAACTTCCGTTGACACATTTGATAATTTTCAGAATTATATCTACAGTTTGATCGTGAGATCATGTATCCACCCATCGTGTCAAAGCATACATTATTTGAAATTGAAGGAAGAGAGCTGACTGAAGTCCTGCATCTTCTCCAGTTATTATTTTCAAATGCTAGTACCCAAGATTTTTCTATAACTGAATAAATTGTCTTTAACTTCATAAGCTTTATAAGGAGCAAAATGTTCACCCTTAACTATTAATTTAAACCAATTGAGGAACATAAATAAATGATTTAGGGATTCTCCGGCTTTCCAAGAATTCAGTAAGAGAAAAATAAAACTTCAAAAGTTACAAGAATTTTATAGAATTTTATTTATAGAAAATCGGATGTTATTTAGTGTGGTTTATACAAGTAGCTCATAAAACTTCCCTTTTTTTTTTTTAATTTTACATTTTTCAACTATATTAAAATTATGCAATACCTCACAATAAAAAATTCATAAATTAATCAGGATACCTTAATATATAAAAATAAATTGTTCTTAATCAATTCAAAGCCAGTGGAAAAGAAGTGCTATCACCCAAGAATCCAGGCTCTAACTATTACCAAATTTTTATTTGACCTTCATAAATATGTTTTGATTTTTGTTGAATATTCAAGAATCCTGAATAAGTGGGTATTTTTAACATGTCAAATTCGTTATTTAGAGGTTCAACTGTATTGAAACTAGTAATTTAAGCTCAATGAATGTTTTCAATATTAATTTGACATGCTTTTGAAATCAATGCAGTTAAAATCTTGTGTGCAGAATTTATCTAATCTTCATAATACTCTAATAGGGTTCTAAGCAATTAGTGATCATTCTGTTTTAAATGGCTTTAATTAATTGCTTTCTTTACTAAATATTTATTTAGCATTTTTATTTTGTAAACAATTATTTGTAATTTATTCATGATTGAATATACTTTGTATATTACCGGTACTTTATTTTATCAAAAATAATATCGCTTTACAATGAACAAAATAATAAATGCCTTTTGGTCTCATTACTAATACTTTACTTAATGACAAATCTATTTAATTTTTTCCAAAAATTAAAGCTATTACTTAAATTTTTATAATTAGTATTGTTTTATCATAATTATTTATTTTTAATTTAGAAGTTCCAGTATAGCGTGCTCAATAATCTCCAACTTATCCATCTTAGTTAGGACTAAGAAGAGTCGCTTTATCCCCAGATATTGTGAAATTAAAGAAAAATATTGCTAACAAATGTTTTTTATTATTAGTTATTCACAAAAGAAATAAGATTAATACTTTTTTCTATTATTTAAATGATTTAAGATATTCTGTTGCACGAAAATATTGAGAGTATTTCTGAATTCTAAAATATAACAACCAAATTTTCTATTTTATATCAAACAATTTTCTATAGTATTTAAAATATTTTAAAATTTTGACCCCAACCAGCTTTAATGAAAGTTATTTGTGGAATATTATTTATTTTAAATTTTTTAGGAACTGACAGATTAGAGATTTATGGTTTTAAGGAAGCAGGGTTCATATTAGGTTTTTATATTTTACTAAATGTAATCAGTTCAGTGATTACCAGACTGTTAAAGGATACTTTACCTTATTTTCTTAAATGCAGATGAAGGCTACCTAATCCTCTAGTTCTCATGTGATTTTTATAGCAAACTATTTAGTGATTACTCTTACATTTTTTATTACATTTAGTCTGGAGGTGGAAGACTGCCTCAGAACGAGAGATGGTAGATTGGTTCTTATTGTTAATAAAAGAACTTAGGATTTCCACTACTCAGAGACATTCTCTTGGCGAACAGATAATAGTTATCAGAATCGTACAATCCATAAGATAACTAACTCTTTTAAGTCAAAAAAAAAAAAAAAAAAAAAAAAAACTACTACAGTACTATTTTGGGAAAATACTATTTCTTGGTCACCGGGTGTACAAGGAGGTGATTTGACTGAAATCACGCTCAACTGTCAGGTTTTCCTGCTTAATTAACTATCTAATTAAGGACAACCACTTTATAGAGGCTGGGTGTGGCGGAGGAGGATTTCCGTATCCCAGGGTTGCTCCATGGTTCATAAAATAGAAGAAATAATTTTTCTGCCATGGTGCCTTAAGCATTGGTAGCTCAGCACCCTACCACTGAGCTACCCCACTCCCTCTAAAAAAAAAATTAAATTACTAGCAATTAGCTCAAAGTTTATTAATATAAAAAATAAATCTGACAAATTTTATAATTGCAACCCTTTCGCATTAAAGTACTATTTATCAGACAAACGGATTATATGTAACTACTGATCTTCAATTTATAAAAATTAAAATAACAATATTAATGTCTAACTATTTTTCTTTTCTTTTTTTTTCTTTTCTTTTTCTTCCTTTTTTAGAATTAAAGACAAGAAAAAATTCTTATGTTGTGGCAAAAGTAATTGTTTGCTCAAATTAAGTAGAGAAAAAACTCATGAAACATCAGATTATACGTTGTGGCTAAATGAAATAAGACCATTGAAGTAAACGGATATTTGAGGTAGCTCAGGACAAAAGTGGGGTGGGCAAGCAGTCTAACGTGTGTGCAAAAAATTGGTTGTCTGGAATCCTGATGAACTGTAGATTACGAAATCAAGTCCCGGGGCCAGATGCTTTTAACTCTGGAATTAATCCTTGCCTTCTCTCCTGAACTGGGAAAAACTGCGTGTCACCGAAATGGGGAGGAAAAAAATCTGATAGTATGATGATGATTTTAAAGGATTGTCAGAAGTACATTGAAAAGGAACCAATTTCATATACATCTTTTAAATAAAATAACACATGTTAATTATTATATTTTAGATTTGGTTGTATTCTCAGCACTAGGAAATGCCTCAATAAAGTACAACACTTTTTTTTTTCTTCTATTGTTATATATAGTTCTACAATGGCTTTAGGCTGTACTACTTATTGTCCACCACCTTAAAAAAAAATGGAAGATCAAAAATCTCAATGTTTTTCTGTTTTTGAAAGAAGAATAGCTAAACTAATTTATTCCAAACTTCTTATTGCTGTGAAAAGGTTTTCTTCAAAATTATACTCAAATCTTATTTGCTTTTAATGTATTTATCATAAATCTGATCAATAAGGTTAAAATAAACTCTTACAGCTGATCATCACATAAACACAAAGCACGTTCAGAAGACCGATCATGGTAAATTTGTTGTTTCAAATTGCAAGCTTAGAATTGAGTCATTTTACGTTTACCTTTGCGTTTTGAGTTCAACTTAACATGGCCTGCTCCAGGAGCAGAGTATCATAACGGTTCGTTTTCAATACCTCAGGAACCTCACCAGTAAAACTATGCTTGAAATTTTTTCTTGTGGTTTTTTACAATATAACGTAGTATTTACAAATATTGTTTTGATCCCCCGAGCATACTAATGCAGGGTGCCTATTAAACTTGGAATACCTAGAAAAGCCAACACATTTTTTGAATTTAGAAAAGTCAGTGAATGGTCAGGAAATTTTATGAAAAAAAACTCCGGAAGTCCAGGAATTTCACATGCTAGGGTATATGAGTGAAGATTTTCTGTGTTAGCACACTTCTTTAAAGCTTAATGGAGTTAATGATTTGCAATTTGATTAATATAAAGGCTCCAGTAACCCTCACACCTAGCCGGTGCGTTAATACTGTGCAATTGCTCTTACAGTTTTGTAGTAATTTAAATTCTTGTTCAATGTCATTGAAATGTTTTTTAAACTACCCAGCTATGAGAGAAAACATCTGCTATGTCTGTAGATGATCACATTAAGTATGGTAGTGAAAAATCTGACATAGCTACTATAAGGATTAAATAGAGATAAAAGATAAACCAGGATCATCTATATTCCAATTCCAACTGATACAGCCTTCCAATATTGTTTTAAAAATTTAAGATTTAGAATAATTGTTATATAAATAAAGTTCTACTCTATCCTGGACCTATGCCCAATTTTTAATCAGTATAAGTATTTGTTTGTAGAATGTATGTTAGATGTTATTGAGTTTAGTTCATGTTGCATGTGTAGCACTTTAAACCATTGGAAAAGTTATGGATTTATAATTAATATTTTCTCTGAAATAGCGTTAAACAGAAAAGAAGTGGCTCATTTTGAAAAATTCATTTACATGTTATTATTATTTTTGTTTGTTTTTCAAATAGGAGAAAAATGAAAAAAGTAAATCAAAAATATTAAGAGCTAAACCTGTGTATAACCGATTTTTAGATTCGTTTGAAGAAAAAAAACATTTAATGTGCTAATTATATTAACAGTTTACTAAGTAAGAATACATAGTGAATTACTAATGTGAACATTTTTAAAAGCTACTACACAAATAGAATGTACTGAATACATGAAAGGTGTTTATAGAGCAGATGAATTCATATTCTATCTTAAAATTGTATGAACAATAAAGAAATGGCTTAATGTTTTATTTATTTATGTGGTTCAAGACATATAAATACAAACTTTTTCAGGTGGTAACCTGAATCATAGTATTAATTTATTTGCATTTTTTTTTTTTTTAATTTTGATTATTATTCATGGTTTATCCATGTTCATGATTTTTTTTTTATCTATTTAAAAATAGTTTCTTGTTATCTTTTGTTAAATATTGGAAAAATAATAAGATTGATATGAACCCATAGGAGGCAAGCAACCCGCCGAAAGGAGGCCACCAATTGAAATCTTACGAACCTAGTAGGAAGCAGACGAACTGGCTGTCCAAGTGTACCATACTCTGACCGAGCCCTCTTCCTCCGCTCTCTGACAATCAGCGTGACGGGTCCAACCCAACACTACGTCCATCTAGTTCTCTTCTCTGTAAATATTTTCACTCAAATCTTACTTCTGTATCCAAATTGACCATGTAAATTAATAAGTTGTGGACATTATAAACGATGCTGTAATGCAAAAGTTTTTTTGTTCAATAAACCTCATAGGTGGTAAATTATTGTTTACAGTTATGATTTGTTACAGTTTCTTTCAAGCCATTATTTGTATAAATTTTTTTCAAGTTCCTATTCGGACAATAGATTGAAAGTGAATATATTAATTTCATTTCTTCATATAACTTACTAATATTCGATTCAAAAACAGCAATGAGATTATTTCTCCTTGTGTAACCTCTTTTGTGTATTATAAATATAAGGGAATAATAAACATTTTTAAATGTGATGTAAAATAGGTGCCTGATTTTATAATATTCATAATTTTTCATACTCTTATTTAAATAGACCTTTAGAATAACTTTAATTTCTAGAAACAAATTTGTGTTTTTCATATCATTTTATCAACTCATTGTCTTATTTATTTGGCTGCATTAACTTCATTTATCTCATCTTTAAAAAACTTGTTATAATTATTAATTTGATGTGTGTTGTATATCGAGAACACATGTGCAATGTTCTTGAAATAGTTAATTCGTAGTCAATTTCATCACAAAATGCGTCGTTTAATTTAATGTTTTTTTTCTTTTCTTATTTTTGTGATATTTACTAAATAATGTTTCTAAAAGTTAAAAGACGATTGTGTTTTAGGATTATTTATATTAATATATTTTTTTATGACTTAAGTTCGCATTTTTATGGCGCCTTGTTATTTTTAGATCTTATTGCTTTTTTTAAAAGTGTTACGTTACTTTGTATACATAAATAGTTTCGTATACATAAAAGCGCATTTGTATGATTTAAAGCAAAATGTTTATATTAAATATATTTATAAAATTGTCATTCCGATAACCGATTTGTCTTTCTTTATCCCATATAATCTGATAATGACCATTTGAAACTCTAATGTAATGTAAGTAATAAATAAATTCTGTATTTTATTATTTTGGCTTTTTTTTTTATCCTACGATTGACAAACGGTATTCATTGATATTGTGGTACTAGTTATCAAACTATATCTGAGGTATAAATGAAAAAATTATTTTACCTAAATTTGAGAACTCTGTCAAATCTGCAGCATTCAAAGATAGTTGTTATGTCATTGAGTTTTTTTTTTTAAAAAGAAGATTTGGATTTCTTATAATAAATGACAGATAATTTTAAATTTAGACAAATATTTTTTAATTGCAACAATGTTAGTTAACTTTGACCATTAATTTCTGTTAATCTGATGCAGTGCTGGCGTTAAGGCTGGACAATTGCCTGGGGTGCCAGCCTGAAAGGCGACGCCCGCAACTTGTTTGGAATTTTAAAAAATTTCAAAGTGTATGAAAATAATTAATTTCAATCTTAATTAAGCATCTTCATTAGGTACATATTTAATGAAATATAACTTAATATAAAACAGCTTAAGAAAAACTTGAAATTTTTGGGCAGAGATGACTTCATTGTCCAGGGGTGCCAAATGTTTAAGGCTGGCAGCGATCTTGATGCTTCCTTGCATCTAGTTGCAAATTGTCTACAACTTTGTGACATACCCATTTGATCAATACTTCCTCAACAGAGCCTACACCTATTCTTTAATTATAGCATTTTATAATTGTAAATTCTTTTCATACATCTTAAATCTTAATCTTAAAATAAACTTTATTCTGGGATGATGTCCCCTCAGAATAACAGTAATGAACAGTTTCAAAAGAAAAAATACATATCTGGTCAAAACATAACTTAATAAAGGTTTAAACAATATATACAACTTAAAATCATAGTATGTAAACAACCATAAATAAAATAACACCATCTCAACTGTTACTTATAATTGTACTGGAAAAAATAACAAAAAAAAAAAAAAATAAAAAAAGGAATACATGCAAAGAAAGAAAAAGCAAAACCTCCAGAAAAGAAAAAATATCAAAAGTACATAAATAAAAAAGTATTGACTTTTTATGTTAGAACATACAAAATATATGCATAGATTAAAGGTATATTAGTGACAGAAGATGAGCAACGGGATCACAATATTGCATTCTCCCGATATGAGTGATATGAAATAAGAGTCAATAGATAAATACAATTATGAAGAGGCATTAAATTAATTTTAAAAACAATGGTGAAGCGGACAATGAAGGAATGTTGAAATGAAGCAGATCTATGGAAAGGGGTGTAAAGGTCAGAAGGACGATATCTCGTGAAGAGAGAGTGGATAGATGAATTAAATTGGAGGAGATTGTATACATAGGACGGACGATAATTGTTGATCATTTGGTAAAGGAATGTGCCTAGGAAGTATTGTCTTCTGAAGGAGGGGATGAGTCACCCTAACTGGGCATAGTAATAATAATAATAATAATGCTTTATTTTTTCTGGGACGAGTCCCTTTAGAATAATATAAAGACACAAAAATGTGGGCTAAGGAGCCTCAGAGATACATAAACAAGAATATAGTTTGATTAAATAGTCAAAAAAAAATAAATAAAAAAATATTTAGAGAAATTATAAGTTACTTTCTAATTTACATCAGTTAATAATAAAAAGTAAAAAATTGAAAATAAACATGAAGTAAAAATAATAAAGAATGATCTAATAATTTATATACATATTTACAGTAGTAACTATTTACAATTTTATGATGAGATCTGGATGGATAAGAAATGATTAAACAGTTGGGATTTAAGGGTGGGAAGGGTTCTGGATTGACGGATGTGGGGAGGGATGGAGTTCCATAGGAAAGAGGATCGAATAATAAATGATTTATCGAAAGCAGCGGTTCGGTGGGCCATTATATATAGATCTGAGGACCGGGAACGGGTATTGCGGGAGTGGACAGAGGATTTAAATTGAAGGAGCTCGGCGATGTATGAAGGACGGCGGGAGTGAATTACTTGGAAGAGGAAGGATGCCAGGAAATACTTACGGCGGTTGGAGGGATAAAGCCACTTCAACTCTTCATAGAAACAGGAAACAGGGGCATCTCTTGGGATCCCGAAGATGAATCGTACAAAGCAATTTATCAATCGTTTTAGTTTCGCCTCGAGATCCCCAGAGACGCCTCCATATACCGTGCAGCAATAGTCGAAATGGGGAAATATTAAAGAGGTGACCAGGAGTCTACGGATTTCAAAAGGAAAAAGGTGTCACAGGCTATTCAAGTGTTTTAGGGTGGAAAAGGTAAGTCGGGAGATATTGGACACATAGTTTTTCCCGGAAAGGGTTTGATCGAGGATTATTCCAAGATTAAAATTTAATGGGATTATCATGTAAAAAGAGGGTTGGAAAGTTAGGAACAGGTTTGAGGAGGTGATTGGAGCCTATTAGGATTGCGTTGGTCTTTTCCGCATTCAACTTCAACTTGTTAACTCCTGCCCAGTCATATATTCTATTTAAATCTTCTTGAAGCTTTTTTGTGACGGCTAATAGGTCGGAAGGGGGGAAGGAAAGGTATATTTGGAAATCGTCAGCATAGATGTGGTATTGGGAGTGATGGATCTGGTTGGGAAGGTCATTAATGTAAATAGCGAACAGGAGAGGGGAAGTGTCTTTGAGGGAGGTTGATCTGGGACGACTACATACTGGGATCGATCTGAAAGGAAGGATTTGAACCAACGTAGGACACTGTTGGATAGAGGAAGATTTTGCAATTTGGTAAGAAGGATGTTATGGTCAACTGTATCAAACGCTTTGGAAAAATCTAGAAGGATGAGGATAGTAAGATTTTGGTGTTCAATGGAGTTTTGAAGGTCATGGGTTATTTTAAGGAGGGCAGATTGCTTTGAATAGCCGGGTCGGAAGCCAGATTGGAATGGATTGATGAAGGAACGTTCTTCTAGGAAGTTGGAAAGTTGATTTTGGACAAGACGTTCCAGTGGTTTTGAGTGGTTGTGAAGAAGAGAAATAGGACGGACGGAAGTCGTTCTGTGAGGAAGGGTTAGGTGTTTTACTCAATGGTTGGACGAGTGCAGTTTTCCAGGAAGAGGGAAATGTGGAATTTTGCAATGAGAAGTTGTAGATATGATAAAGTACTGGAATAAGGGTAGGAAGGCTGGATTTTATTAGTTTTACTGGAATATTTTCAGGACCATAATCATTGGTGTGGGATTTGAGGATAGTGGAAAGTAAAGTAGTAGTGGGAAACACAAGAACGTCTCGGAATCCCTTCGACAAATCTTACTAAGCTATTCATAATTCTTTTTATCTGTCCCAGAGTTCTATGAGAGGCCACTGTACTTCACGCTGCCATAGTCAAGGTGGGGGAAGATGAGGGAGGATATTAGTAGTCTACGAGTGGGTATAGGCAGGAGATGTCGGAAGCGATGGAATAGTTTAAGGGTACAATAAACACCAGGTTTCCGCTCCATAGGTGACTACTGGTCTAATAAGCGTTTTATACAGCTTTATTTTTATGGCTTTTGACAACAATAGAGACGAGAAGTATTAGGTTTGCATAGTAAGCTCTATTACCAGCCATTATTCTGTTGTCTATTTCTCTGCTGATTACGTTTTCATTATTTAAGGTAGAACCAAGATACACGCATGAATGTGGATACATTATCGAACTTAAAATTCTTTATTGTAATTTCATTGCAGGATCTTCTTGCTGCCGAGGACAGTTTCAGGTATTTAGTTTTGTTTTCATTGACCACAAGTCCAACTTTGTTACCATTTTTGTACACAATATCAAATGCCTCTTTAAGTGCGTTTTCACTTCTTGCAGCTATCACCAGGTCATCAGGGTAAGCACAAATTTGCCAAGTCTTATCAACGATTGTGCCTTTTTTTAGCTGCATCTTTCACAGCAGCATGCAGAGCTATGTTGAATAGTGTTGCCGATAAGGCATCTCCTTGACCCACTCCAGACT